TAAAGTTTAAAAATTGAAATTATTTGAAGAAACGTAACTAAATTAAAGAATAAAAATATTTCAGAATATAAAATAATTCTTGAAAATGGCACAAGATGCTGAAACGTTGAGAAATAAAGAAATACAATAAAAGCGTATATTAATCGTGATCTGTCGCTTAAAATCTATCAAATAAAAACATAATAAACCATGCAATGGTACCGAACGTAAAACATTTGACAACAGAATTTATTTACTTTTTAAAACATTTATATTTAATTGACTTTTGTAAGTACATATTTTATTAATGAACACTTATAGCCCTAATACTTGTTGCCCTTAATTGTGGCAGATTGTACTATTAGGTATATTAGGATAAGCGCACCAATGATGGATATAGCTAAAGAAATTTTTGTCTTTTCTGTCTTATGATGCCGTAATTATCATAGTTGTAAGCTTCTCCATTCGATGTTTATAATCTCTAGGATCTCTTTTTTCTTTTAAACACTTTAAAATTGAAAAAAAATATTCAGTTATGCTGGTATGATGCCCAATAAAAAAAAAATTGTACTAATGACGAACACACCAAAATTCAATTGTTCTAGTAATGGGCAAGAGGCCGGCACCAGTAATGGACATAACTCAGAAACATTTTTTTTTTAGATAAGATTACTTGTTTATTGATAAATATTACAATCTGTCTCAATAAAGGACACTTATAATAAAATTCAGAGAGCACATTCACACCATATTTACAAAGTCAAATAATAGATAAGGTAATTTCAAAATAATATACAGCAAAATAAGTACAAAATAATAGCTCATAATTAGGAAAGAAAAGGATAATAATAGTGATAATAAAATAGAAATAAATAAATAAAATAGAATTCAAATGCTCTTAAAAAAAATAAACATCTTAGACCCAGGCATACATATTTACACTATGAGAAACATTCTATAATCGTTATTTAACTATAAGATAAGATAAGATAATGTTCAACTTACTCAAGAGCACTATATAAACGACAATGATAGGCTTTTAAAAACTTTCTTTTGGGAACTGTATTCATACAGTCAATAAAGGGGATTATTCTTCAATCTAGGAAAAACTAGAACATTTAAATCAACAAGGAAGCTTATTATTCACATTTAAAGCCAACCTTTCCATTACTGGGTGCCCTGCTCATAGCTGGTGCGTTCACCCTAAATACAGTTATAAATGTATCAAAGAGCCATCGTCATATTGAAATACAGAAGGTTGATTTGAGCATGAATTAAAACTAATAAAGAAAAAATATAAATTAATATCAATTATTATTAATTTTTTTTCTCGCAAGTTTGGTGTTACAAAAAATTTTTTCCTTCAGTTTTCATACAAAATTATTCATTTATTCCTGAAATAAAAACAGTCCGTGGATTTTATTCCATTCTCTATCAAACATCACAATGGTTGCATGGAGTTTAGTGACAGAAAAGACTTCCCCCGTTGCTCAAACGACCTTAAAATCTTTTTGAAGTTATTGACCACTTCCCGGAACCCTCATTAATTTAATTACCAATCTTCTGCTGGGTCCGCTTTGTCCAGCAACTTCAGGCTGCCCTCCTGTTTTCGGCCAGATATCAATTTCGCATAAATATACCTAAAATAGAGAAACACCCTAAACAATTATGTTAAATTATTTTGTACAGACAAACAAAATAAAGATCCACGAATAAATTATAAATAAATTTTCCGGGAAAAAAAAGAAAAACAAAAGTTTCATATTATTACACAGTGGTTCATTATTTCCAAATAATAATAAATCAAATATTTGTAGTGGTATATCACACTGCATTGCTCACTACTTCTGGAAAAAATGTAGTACAATGGCCTCAGTAATTGTTTTTAAAATTTATCACGTTTGAGGAATTCCCGATAAAATTCTGTGTCACCATAACATTTTTTCCAGTTTATTTTCGTGAAAATATGTTACGTACACACATTCATAGAGCTTCAAAGGAATGACTCTTTTTTTTTTAATGGAACTTATGAAATAATTATTTCTATTGGATTTTTCGATTCTAGGTATTGTAAAACGTAAACATTCAAGAGCGGGGAGGAATTTTTAAAATAATTTTTATCTATTAAAATGGTTCGTTATTGAACATAATAAATTAAAATGATTGTGGATAGATAGAATGTAGTGAATAATTGAAGAGAAGAACGGACTGGGTGACAAGTAAAAATAAAAAGTATGTTAAGTATATTTATTTTTATTTTTGCAGACGTTTCGGCCCAAAGTTCAGACTTTCATCAGGGCTGGTCAGAAAAAAAGTTTCCGCAAGACAAAACCAACTAAAAATGTGTTAAAACATTTTATATTTACTAGTGCTGCTCCGATCTCGATTTATATTTTATGATGTATGTTATAGAGAGAAATTTATCGATGTTTAAGGAGAAAACTTAAGTTTCGTTGAGATTTTCATAGACGTTTTGGTACAACAAACAATAGGAGCATACTGCAGTTTAGTGAGGTTGTCGGTTACGGAATGCTCGCTATTTATTAAAGTTTAACTTTGATAAATAAGTTGATTAAGTTTAACTTATTTTGGGAGATATCTATCACAAATCAGTTATTTCGTGTGCCTACACTCCTCGAAAAAATTTGGAGCCATTCGGACAAATCATAAGCCCCGTTTTTTTTTTTTGTAAAATATCGGAACCGCTGAACTTAATTGAGGTTTCTTTGTGAGTTTAATCGTATGAAGACCAAAAAGTAGCATCTCCTTTTTATATTTGGACTAAATTGAACCATTAGTTCAAAGGGAAAACTTACTTTTATATCATTTCACACAGTTTATATTTGACCAGGACATTAAATATTATATTATATGGCGATTCGGATCAATTGCAATTAATGTTATTTTAGTTGTAAATATATTTATTAGGCTAAATTGAAAATATAATTATTAAATCGATTATTACTATTATGTGTGTTTTAAGATATTGAGTGTTTCGTTCTCAAATATTGCATATACTAAAGATTAAGTTTTTTTTTCTCTCTTCATACATAAATTCTTAATATATTTATTTCAATTGTATATATAATCACTAGGCGAAATTGTACACATAATTATTATGTTAGTTTTAAGATATTTTAAATATATACAAATTGTAAATATATTTTTTATATTGGTTATTATATTGCTTACAATGTTGCAAATTATGTTAGTTTAAAAAAATAGAGTTTATTTGTTTTAAGATATTTTAAATATACAAGATATTACAAGAAATTATGAACATTTTAAATTAAATTATAGATATACTTACGGGTTTTAGATATATAAATTATAGGTATACTCGTATTATACTGATTTTTATATTGATTACAATATATACATATATATATATATATATATATATATATATATATATATATAATTTTTTTTATTATTAATAACAATATCAAACAATGAAATGGCAAGCAAAAACATAAACAAATTGGTGCCCGCCGCTTGACTGTAAATGTTCCCTCGTGTAGAAAAAGGTTGGGAACTTCAGCCATAGAGGTATTACTTAAATACAGATGGTGAAGTTTACTTATACACATCGTACCTCTGGACGTCGTTATTGCAATAGTATTATTGAATAGACGCAGCTCAACAAAAGTATTCAGAATATTGAACGTTTACAATGTGGTACGTATATAACACGTGCTCATCATTATTGCGACACGATGAACCGTAATCTAAGGCCATTGAGTTATTTCTTTTGCTGCAAGAGGTTTGATCGAGGAAGAGGCGTAAGATAAAAATATTTTTAGTTCAGTATTGTACGTACCTCGAGCTTTCGACAGTATTTGACATAATTGCCTGCTCTGCATATACTACAATTCATATACCTGTACTATTTATAGATTTATTAAAAATCATTATATTCATTATATTAAATAGTATAATTGTCATTCTTCGAAACATTTATATTTTTAAAGAAAACCATGACAGATAATATTTGTTTTTAAGTTGAAGGTCCTATTAAAAAAAGTTCATAATTAGCATTTTTAACAATAACTTTTAATGTGAAATTTAAAGTTTTAAATATTATTCGTTCCTTTTTAACATAGCTTCCGTTGTCGTGTCTACAAACCACATCTGTTCAAGTAAAATTATACGAATTACTTTCGTTATCACCATACTTAATCGTATTATCAATTGCGTAGTTATCAATTTTAAAGTTGTTTCTTGAAGTTCGATGTTTTCGATACAGTTGTATAGTTAGAAACACGTTGGTCGATATAGCTCGTAACGGATTTATCTATAATCGGACAAGTTACTCCTCTGGGGCGATAATTTCAATGAAGCTATATTTTTAGATTAAAATCAATTCATAATTTTAAATGATTGCTCATAAAACACGAATTCAACAACCAAAGTATTTTATTTAAAAAATGGAAAAAAATAGTGTTAAAGAACAGAGTGTGTTCAATTCTTAGCATGTAAGTTGTTGAACATTTTTTTTTTACGTTAGATGTTAATAAATACGTTGGTGTATATATTGAAAATGTATTGTTACAATAACTAATTCGCAATGACGTTATTTTAACTCGGACACTATCAGCATTACCCATGTTTTTTTTTCGTAAATATGGTTATTACCTTTCCATATATTTAAGATTTGGCTCTTTGGCGTTACACCACTCCTTTATAGTGAATAAAAACAAATTTAGTATAATGTTACGTCGGTCTTCTTGTGGGTGATGTACCATCTCTGTTGTATCAAGCGATTGAAGTTGAGTTTCTCCTCTGCCTAAATGTGATTTTCAATCACAATCCTCAATCGACAGGCGGCATATTGGCTAGTTGGTTATTAGCTGCTATTTGGGAGAATGTTTAGTTTTAATAAACATTTACCTTGTTTGAACTCTTTCAACGGTAGCCTTATTATATTTGTCTCTCTTTTAACTTTTTGTTTTCTTATTATTTCCAATGTTTAATGACAATTAACTTTTAATAAAATACGCATTATAATAAAAAACACTTACCAAGGAGAGCAGCAACGGCGACGAACCAGACGGCGACTCTGAGGCCCCAATTTCCCATGAGGTCCTCGCAGGGGTTAAATGCATCGGGGGCCGGGGTACATTCAACCTGCCTGTAGTCTTTGCTTAGGTTACCGCATTCAGCCAGCATCTTTCGACCTTTCGTCTCCGAGAGGTTGTTGAATGCTACAACAGAAAACATGGATATCTTATATGATCAGATTGAATTATATGTACTTATTGAAAATTACTCTGATGACAATTTCCTCATGAACTCGTATGATATTACCAATCTGTGCATTACAAAATTAGATCACCAAAACATGTGTCCTTGTATACTTATTTTATATTTATGTTCTTGAAAATAATTGCATGATATATCATATTGTATTTGTTTATATTTTATTATTATATTGTACTGCATCATGCTGATCAATTGTTATCAAATATCAATCTCTCAGGATGCTTGTTTATCATGGCAGCCAATTCTATTTATATAAGACATTCCTCGAAAACAAATAAAAATATTCATTCATTCAAAAAAATAAAGCTACAATAATAAAAACATTTGCATACGAAAAACTAGAATAGGGGCCTCATATATTCCCTGCTACAATGACCACTATTAAAGCCGTGGTCTTAGGTATTTTGAGGTACGCATCCAGTACGTGAAGCAGAAACCTCACGCTAAAGCAAAAGAGCAGAATGGCCACAATTCAGCGGTTGGCTCTGTTGACGACCATGAAAATATATACGGCCTCGACTTCGTCCTCCGGAAGGATTTACTGAAGTACGATACTACGAGGCATGGGCATGAGGCGTTTTCCTAGGGACTTCTGCGAAAAGTCAGCGAAAATCCCAACTAGTCCGAGAAGCTTGTTAGGGAGGACTTCATCGAAGATTGGAATGGACGGTGGGGTGCTTACGGGAAGAGCGCAACATTGATAAAGGTTTTCTCAAGTTTAAGATTAAAATCTAAATATAGGATCTCACAGATTCTGACAGGGCACGGAGTTTTCCGAGGGAAAATACACAGGCATGAGAAGAAAATTGATCCTAGATGCCCCACCTGTGGAGTACCCGAGAAGGCAAAGTATGATGTAGCATCCTGTGCTGAAATGTAAGGCCACCGTGTTAGGTTGTCGAGAAAGATTGGTATCTTCACCCTCGCCGAAACGGACTTTCCTCGACTGATGAAGTTCGTCTAATGGTGGAAGAAAGTGGTGGGCCCTTCACACTTAACCTTAGTATGGCCATGTCATCCGATATTAGCGAACCGCGTGAGAATGAGCCACAAGCAGGTTGCAGATGACAATCGGGCGTATGCTGCGGACAAGGAGAGCTGCATAGCAACCCGGACGGATGCAGTCTAGGACGGTTGCAAAGTGCCAGGAGGGATGACCATAGGATCCGGCAGAGAATAAGCTGCGACCCTATCACATTCGTGCACCAAAGTTGAACCTAATTTTTTTTTTATATTGTTCCCATATTAAAATATCCAGTGATATTGCATAATAAGAAATATTTATAATAAAGTATTTTTATAGGCAGAATTTGGGCTTATGCACATCGAACGCGTCAATCTATTACTGCCTAAACCCCCCGTGCCAAAAATGGCGGGTGGGGAAAAAAAATACGACAAAGCTATCATATTACGAAGTAGGTTTATTTACAAACCTCGTAATGAAAGTATGGATACTATCAATTGCTACCTTTTCTATTATATTTCTGTAATTTATTTTACATCTAGCTACGGAAGACGGTTAAAAAAATCAGTGGTGTAGCTAAAGTTGACTGCGGCCCAATACAAGCATTTTCTTGTGCACCACTTCTTCATAATACCAACGTTCTCCCGATCCACGGGATACTTAATCTCGCAGCATCGCTCCAATTTTAAAACCCCATCTTGAACATCTATTAAGTATGTGATTACATACAATTAATTATTCTTATTATTAAGATCAGGATCATTCAGAGCTATCGCTTTTAAGAAGTACATAATTCTAAATTGTATGTTGATCATTTGTTTAGAAGATATTCATTCCACTTAATATTTATATACACTTTTTAAAAATAAATAGAATGAGAATGAAGTAGAACTGGTTATATTTACTTCACATTCTTATATGGATGGTAGTTGCATACAAAAGGTCAAGTTCCCTTATATATAAAATAAAAATGATAAATGATTGTATATATCATGTTCTAATTATATGAATGCTCATATAAGTGAATTATAAAAAAAAAAAAAAAAAAAATCCTAGAATTGTTGTATAAAAGCAGGAGAGTGTTGTTGGTACGAGGCAGGCTACGTGAGGAGAATGCTGTGTTTACCTTACTTAGTACCTACCTCCAGGCCATCAACTAATTCCATAATCCCAAACCATCTTAAGTCCTTTGAAATAATATCACCTTGCAGAATAACAACAAAAACAATGCTGAGCTTTTTTTTTTGTGAAAACATTTCATTTTGTGCCATTTATTTTAATAATATATTTATTTTCTGACGAATGCATTTCTTAGTTATGTTGACAGCCAAGATAGAAATATCGCTCAAAGGGAAAGATTAAAAATCTCTTAATCTAGCTTATATTAAATGTGGAAATTTTATTGAGATAATAAAAGCTACCAACAATGAAAGGTGAGACTTTTCTTTTTATATTTATTTCTAAAAAGTTTCTTTGCTAATGTCAGCGAGTAACATAGACAGCGGTCCTTAAATCCCAATACTACAAGCTACGTTTCTGTCTAACTGCTTTTTTAAGACGAATGGTTGTACCAGAAATAGCATTAGAGTGTATTTATATCTACTATATATATATATATATATATATATATATATATATATATATATATATTTCTATTCTTTATCTAATATATATTGTAACCAAGATTAAGGAAGCAGTGAAAAAAAAACTCTAGTCTCTTTTGTTTCCTGAGGAGATGACTAATTGATATTTTAGCATGTGCATGTGCCCTTACCTCTTATTGTATCTTGACTATCTTTTCTAGATGTTTGGATGTGGCATGCCATAATATTGTATATAAAATAAGTATCTTTTTTTTGTTATTTGTATTATCTTTATTATCTTAAATATCTTCCTTTTTATCTTTAATTGTATATAGTAATTTTGATTAAATTGTCTCTTTTTCCTTGTATTTTATTTCTTTTATTGTACATAGTATTAATTCTGAAAATATTTCTTGCTGTAAATAGATCTGTTAACTTTTTTGCTGCTTTATAAAAAAATATCCAACCTAATCCTTCTCACCTGAGCTAGCATGGTAGAATAAATGATTTATCATGGCCAAATCATGGGTAAGTAACTTATATTCTCTATAATTATCTCTTTATAGATGAAAGGCTAGTAAAGCCAGGCGCCCAACAAATTAAAAATTCATATGGAAAATTATATTTATTAAAAATTATTTTATTATCTTTTCATTTATCCTTTTTTCTTGGTCATAATATATTCATTCATTCTCTAATGTATATATGAAGAAAATTAGATCAAAATGAAGGGAATTTTTCTTGAATCATCTGACTGTGTTTGGATTAGGGGTGCCCTAAAGGGAGTTGCATTGCACAAACTGTGGCATCAACATTTTTGAAAAGGGTACATTTTTATGAATTTTTCAGGGGGAGAGGGAGCAAGTTTTTAAGGGGTTCTGAACTTTCAGAGTGAATCGTATTTTAGAGAGTGGTTTCAAACCAAAGAAAAATGGAAAAAAAAAACAGAACAGACTCAGCCACTTTAATTGTATGTAATCTACAAGTTTAATAATTCTGTTTTCAATTTTACAGCTTTTAAGAAATTAGAATAAAATATTCTGGGAGGATAAGGATTGCTTGCGTCGTTTCCATTGGGAACGATGATCAACTCTGGTTTGGATTTCGCATTAATGCTCTAATACTGATTGATGTTTGAACTTGAGCACGTCGTAGTCAACTGCACCGCCTTTGATGGACTAAGGCCTGAAATGATGAGGAAAATTGGATTCTGTGGCCTCACGGAGAATGAATTTTCTCAATTAGTGACGGAACAGAACTACCCGTATTACAAAGAATTTATGTAAGGGAGAAAAGCTACTCTGGGACCGGCACACTTTAATCTGGGAAGAAGAGGACCTTCTCATGGAAGATATGCAGTCTGATAATAAATTTTTATGGCGAAAAGAAAATGAAGGAAACAGAAGAATTTTTAAAATATATGTTGTTTTATAGCAGGAAAGGCATACACGTTTGTCATATGTTATCCTTATAAAATCCTGTGCAGCAAATAGGCAAAGAAGGGAGAAATAAATAATGATTGATGTTTGAGAGAATTAAAAAGGAGGTTTATTGTGATATTGGATAGTAGGCCGCAAGTGACTGAGCTTTTGAAAGTAACTAGCTTTCAGGAACCATTTAAACTACTGTTAACATTTACATTATAGGTTGAGACTGGTCATTCATCTCAGGCGGTTCCTCTCTATTTCCATTTTATGCACTAGCATCAGTACTTAGCGGTCTTGAAAAAAGCCCTCTTAACAAACAACTAACAAATAAACTCTCTTAAACTTAGTTTAAGTTTATTAAAAAAAAATGTAATAGATAACAACAAAAATTCCATCGCTATTGTTAACCGAACACATTTTGAATGCAGGAAGGGGTAACTAATATAAATAAAAGCATTTATTAGTTCAACAAATAAGAAATAATTATAATAAAAATAATGTTACCTTCTTGATGGAATGTGCCTTCAAAGGTTTCTGTCGGCTGGTGGTGACCTGTGGAAATAGGAGCACCCCAGGATCTCTTCCCTCTCATCTTGGGGCACTTCGCTGCAATCTTTGCCAAAAATTCCTGAGAAACCAGAAAATAATCTGTGTAGTTTTTAAATAAGTACACGGTCTGTTGCAGAAAGTACCTTAAATAAAACAACGTTAGGTCCGAAAGATAATGTCATGTAATAATTATCAAGGATTAAATCTTTCTTACGAATAAAATATTTATCTATTTCAGCAATGCTATGAAATGTCTATCCGAGATATATCATTAAAAAATCAATTTTTATTATGCTAGTGGTAAAACAAAAAAAAAATAATAAAAAGCCGGCTTCATAACAATAGATAGTAAGAAATAAACAAGTTTACTTATAAGGTTTAGGTGTTACATCGGTCTAAAGTGATCCCAAATCTACAAAAATGACGATTTTTAAAAATACCTTCTATATAATACTGATATACTCAAGCAAATCCTGAAGATACCGAGGAAGAAGCACCACAATCCAATCCAGCTGAAGGACACAATGGAGTGGAATACCTGCTATCTATAGTTCAGACATGTTTCCCGAATGCCATAACATAGACTGGCAAGGGTCACATCATAAGACGCAGGTGAGAGGTGGAACGCCTAGAGAGCGGCCTAAAATACTTGGGAAAGCGGAATAAAGGAAGCCTTTGACCGGAGAGGAATGTATTGGACGAGGAGAAAACAATTGCTCCAAGAAAGAGACTTATGAATCAGGCTTTAATGTCGGAAGCCTCACACTGCTCAGCGGGAGAAGATGAGAAATCGGGAGATGTAAGACTTACATACGGGGTATGTAACTAGTTCAAATATACACATGCAACTTTTACAAATATAACATAATATTAATTTAACCTTTTTTTTTATATCGGTGCCAAGATACGTCCTTCCATCATTTACATTTCAATCATTGGTCAGTTGTTACATTGACAAGACTTTCTTGGACTAGTTAACGGAAGAAATTATTTCAACTTAAGATTTGTAGTTGAGCTTAACACCAATATATAAAAAAAGATAAATTATTGTACTTGATACAAGTTGATGTTAGGTAGTTAATTAAATGACTAAATTATATACTTTTATAAGTAAAATTATTTATTTATTCCTAACTGTTCTTATGTAACTTTTGGTGTTGGTTTTTAAAAATTATTTTTCTTTCCATTTCAGTGCTAACCAACGATAAAACAAGGTATCGATTCATGAATAATAGTAAAAAATGACGTATCGATATCTGAGATACTCGTGGATGATTGAAGTATCAAACAAATATAGATAGCTGAATCTATTACAGAAAGGAAAGGTTAGTACAAGTTAGTATGACTAATAATAACTACAATAATATAGCTAATAATAATAATAAATATTAGCCTAATACTAAATGGCTGTATACACACTAAAATTACAATGTGTTAAGCTTTAGTAAATTCGACCTATAAAATTTGTAAATTTAAAAGTATTTAATTAACTTACTCATTATCTAATAATAATACCTCAATATTTAATATATATTTTAATTGTTAGACATTTTAGTAAATTATTTTATGAATAAATTAATTCTCTAAATTATTTTTTTCACTGTAAGGACATATGTATGAGAACAATAAAGCCTCAAAACGTCGTTTAAATGAAATCCAATCGTTGAACGCTGGAAAAGGGTTGATTGTAAGCATTAAGTTTACTTGAAACTCAAACAGAACTTTGTTGGATTTGACTAAGGGACAAAAGTGTTCAACTTAATCTCTTTTCAATCTCTTTTGTACGAAAGCCATTTATCTCGAGATTGTAGGAATACTATACAAAACGGAATTAAAGGGAAAATCTTTCGTTTATTGTAATAAAAGCACATTTATCTACATCTGCATCCATTGCCTAATTTTTTGAGTTGAATTACACTTGACAGTCTGAAAGTTATCTTGGACGATAAATAGTCAGGAATATTAGTCACTTATTTACTATGGGTGCAAACTTGCCGTTGTCAGTGAATTTTAATAAGATATATAGGCAGTAAAAAGGCAGAAGTAAGCAAATAACAAAAATAAATTTTTTTTTTTTTGGTACCTTGTTGATCCACCTCGAGCATTAACTACTTCCTAAAGACGAGCAATACTTCTTAGAAGTTAGATAACATCTGAGGTATCGTCTCCCATTCCTCTAAGCGTGTGTGCAGTTTCAACAGTTTGTAGAAGGGTATTCCGCCCTGAAATCCGTTTTTAACGTTGATCCCATAAATCTTCAAAGTGATTAAGTCTGGAGAGCAAACAGGACACTTGAGGCGATGACTATTTTGATTTTGAAAAAATATATTCACTTGTCTAGCCTTTGAAATCAAGCATTGTCATCCTCAAAAACGAATATTGGGCCAATTGGTTCTGCCATAGGTTGCACTGTCGATGTTAAGATCCTGTCCAAGTAACGCTGAGCAGTCATAATCTCATTTCGTAACACCAGAAGCTCTGTCCTTGAGCCCGAGGATATACCAGCCCTCTCTGCAGTTAATCCTCTTCCGAACGGGTTAACAGGCTATACCAGAGATTGATTGTATAGCTCATTAGACCTTCTGATTAGTCTTGCTCGGTTTGAACAGTGTTGTAGTACAGATTTAAACGAACTAAGCAGGGGGTAATCCCTTCTTTTATTTATGTTTGAAAAAGTTCATTACAAAGGAATTCGCCCATTGCTAGTATACGCAATTAACTGCTGTCAAATTAGAAAATATTGATTTCTCACAATTTTAAAAACAATAAATGCAATGATCCAATTCATTTGCAAATGTGTACTTATTACAAATATATTTGGGGTGTTAAAGTTCCGATTAAAAATCCATAATCAAAATAATAAATAATTTCCATACTATTATTATCAAGGCTTTAACTTCATTATTAATTTTAAATATTTATACCACCTTAAACCCTTAAATGACTTCCTACCCTAAAGTGCCCTTTATTAATATCCCACTTATCTCTGTTGAAAAAATGCAAAACCTAGAAAAACTTCTAAATTGAAATCCTCATACAAGACGTTTCATATACACACGACAGTAATCACTCCGATTCGCACTTATGAAGTTGAGCTTTGGGCCTCCACTACTGGTGGATCCAGGATTTAATTTTTGGGGGGGGGGCTTAAGCCCGTAGTTTTTTTCATATACATATAATAATAATTAATTAGAAAAAAAAATAAAAGAAATTAACTACCTATATGAAATGGTGTTTAAGTGGTTCTTGAAGTCCTATTAAATGTAATTCCAAAAGAATACTTTAAGAGATAGTTTTTAATATTTTTTTCTGTAAAACATAGTTATATTTTACCATTTTGGGGAGGGTAGAGAGCTTCAGCCCGAAAGCCTCCTCCTTACATCCGCCTGTGGCCTCCACTAAACAATAAAATCCTCAATGCTTCTTACTTTGTCACAAATAAAATCATCCACAACGACTTTCAATTTAGCCTAATCCAGATGCCCCTCCTTTCATAATTAACCTCAGAATCATCTGAACCCTCATGCTTCTAATCTTGCTTCCTTGATAAAACTTTGAGGCGTCCGAAAAGATGTAATCGTGATCTAATTTAGACATTTTATCATAGTGCTGTCGAAGAATAATTTCTCTACAGGATTTTTAATGTCATTATATATTTCTTTTCACATGTAACAGATGTTTTTCTGCTTTGATACAATAATAGTGCCGGCTTTAGGGCAGAGCAGTTGTCACGGGGCGCAGACCGATCTTGAGGGGCGCTTGTCACACCTTTGAAATAAAAAAAGTATCAAAATAATCAAATTTAGTTTATTAATAAATCAATTGTATTAGAGATATATTGAATGAAATAATTTTAAAATGTTACATAATTTATTTTTTTAGGGATTGGGGGGAGGGGAAATGACGTCATTGCCCAGGAGCGTCGAATGTCTTAGGCCGGCACTGTATATGTGTATATATGGGGGCTGGAGTAGCCTTGCGGCCTAAGGCGCATGCAATAGGTAATGAAAGTCAAGCAACGCCGAGGCTTGTACTTGGATGGGTGACCGTCCACATAGGAAAGCCACGCTGTCCGAGGTTCCTCCCCCCGGGCATGTGAAGCCCGTCAGATTACTGGAGTCAATTATCACCGACCGGGCGTAGGATTGATGACCCTACCCCGTACTTTAAATCGGGAATCGGGATGTGGTCTAGAAAACCACACTCGCGGTCAAAGATCTTCATTGTATGTAGCGCCAACCTAATATATATATGTGTGTATATATATATATATATATATATATATATATATATATATATATATATATATATATATATATATATATATATATATATATTTATACGAAATTTATATTGATCCCAAACATTCCTATATTTTCAAAGGCACTGTCAAAAGACTTTGATGATTTATGCGAAAAATTGCTCTATTATTTGTTTAATCTAGTCACGATTTCAAACACTTTCCTTAGCAAGAGATAATTAGAAGCTTCTCATTATGTACTGTGCTATAATTAAGTGTTATTAGTCGTTGGTTGAGTGATTTTGAATTTTCGTCAAAGACATATTAAATATGAGGAATGTAGGATGGCTTTTAATTAAAAACCAGAAACAGAAAATTAATGAAGGTGTCATCTTGCTGTATATCACTGTTACATTAACCTTGAAATAAATGTTAATATTCTTATGATCCGTATATATTTTTTTTATTTTGGCGGTAATTTCGAACTATAAAAAAGTTTGTTCAATTTATCTTGGAATTAAAGATCTTATGAATAAACTGCTGGATGTTCTTTCATCATAATAATGGCTGTAATAAGCTAAAATGCGGCACAGTCAAAGCTTCTTTGATGTCCTTTCATTTCTGTAATGGCATTTAAATGCAAACATAAAATAGAGGAATAAAAAGTACGCAATGGAATAGTTAACGTATAACGGTTTTAAGATGCAATAAACCAAACGAGAGGAATTGAAACCCTTCAGTGATTAGGTGAAACAAGTAAATAAGACAGCTGAGGAATTGGATCCGACCGCTAAAGATCTCAAAGGATCTTCTTAATTGCATTCAAAGGAGCTACTCCC